GCACAACAACCACCTGTGCCCCGATCACGACCCCCACAACCTGCACAACAACCACTTGCAGTGGACAAGTAACAACAACGGCTTGTGCTCCTGGAAGCTCTGGCGGTAAAGTAAGACCTTCATCAGTTTATGCAAGGCCCGCAGCGAGACCTTTGCACAGCGCTTTGCCTGCGGTCATGGACCAGCATCTGATGCCCTTGGGTGGGCCGTCGAACGAGCTAAGCATGAACCTCTACACCACCTATGTGTGCCGTAACAAGCCCGACGGTTTTATGCTTGCCTCCCTGACGAGCTGCAACAACTATTATATCTGTCGCTACGGCAAGCCCCTGCAGGTGAGCTGCGGTGCCAAGTACTTCAATGCGCTCAAGGGCATCTGCGATCTGCCAGAGAATACGCGTTGCATACAGCCGCGAGCCTAGGCGAGTCGCCCATCCATTGACGTAACGACCTATCGAGTCCAAAGCAAATATAAAATACGACAACTCCACCAAAATTATCTATATACATATTTACGAATATACTGTTCTACTTAATTCCAATTGAATTACAACTAAATAAGCAAATGCCAATATAGGCCAGAAACATGCAAGCAAATTATGTGTTTTATATTTATCTAAGCAGAGAGCTTTGACCATTGAGCAAAGCTCTTACAAGAAATCATTATGTCTGACACGATTTAAATGTAGTCCATTTATCGCTTCCAGATTATTTCCTTCCACTGAGTGCAATTTGCTCTTTATCATCTTAAATAGCATCCACAGGTGGGATGTCAGAATGCGTAGAGTGTAGATTTTACTTTAATTCAGTAGAAGCTTTCGTGGAAGTTGTTGAGAGAGTCCACACGGAGACACATACCATTATGTTGGGAGCTTCCGCGGTAGTTGCTGAGAGGATTCACTCGTACACACACACGCATGGTAAGATCAGTGTGTACAGAAAATATATTTGCATATACATACCATATGTACATACACATTTCACTGAACATAATGCTTTCTTAGAAAGTCGCTGAGAGAATCCACACGGACACAAGAGCTACCTACTTGAACTACTACTGAACTGAAAAGCTCATACAGTTGCACAAGCAGCTCTCGTTGCAGTTACTGAGAGGATCCACACATACTGTCACACCAACTAATGGCGAGAGGGCGTATGTGTGCGCTGACTGACTGAGTGATTGTTGAGCTTTTACAGCGCCCAAACTCATATTGTCGTCAGTTGTCTTCAGTTGTTCGCTTTGATCACAGATGATGCGCACAATTTTTTCGAGTTGCATACTTATGTACATTCATACATATCAAGTAATTAGTTATTAATACTCGCATACAGCTGAATCGAAAAAATTGATTTTTGTATTGGATTACATACATATATATGCATGTAATTAAATTATTCAAGCAATTGGAAGTTATATTATAGCGACTAGTTAACTTGCGACATATTAAATTCAAATACTTTGGAGGAATTACATATTTGTGTATGCATGTATGTATATATTTAAATTTGATCTACTCATTCATTATTCTGTATGTATGTATACTGATATATACATATATATGTATGTCCGCACAACTGTGTGTTGGCTGCAATAGTGTTTGTAAGCTTAGCATCCACACACCTAGCTTTCATTTCTTTCTCTCATAGTCAAAATCCCACTCACTGGAATGCTGCATACAGTCGTCTTCTGTCAGAATGTGGAGAGAGCAGTTGGATGAAAAGGAATGGGAACTGAGCGATTTCGTAATTGGGATTAAGAAGTTGCACACACACATGCATTTCAATGGTGAATGAGTATTAATTGTGGTTCATAGGAGCGTGGATCTCATTCTTTTTGAGAGCTTGTTGAGTGATTTGTATGCTGAGTAGTGCAATGCTTACAATTTTATAGGCTAAGCATATTATATTGAAAAATAGCGTAACGTTGCGCTTTATACACATGTGGCTTTATATAACTATTGCTATTTCCTATTATAAGCTGAAGCTAATTCAAATGATATATTTATGTGATGATAATTTTATTTCTCGCTTTGTTTCAGAACTTGTCATCATTATCCAATGGAATACATACATATGTACAATCTAATATTTTGCAGAAGTTTTAATATGTATTTTTTAGCGGAATCATAGTGTTCTCAGAGTCCGTTTGACTTGTAAGTATAATTAAATCTACCACTATAACTAACAATAAATTTTGATTTTGTTTTCGAGTCTCATTTTGTGGCCCAAGGATATTATTTCGAGCTTCATTCCCGTATGCATCTTAAGTAACAATAATGGATATGATACTTTTGGACAGGAGTTCTGATGTGCTACAAAAACCATTACAAATGTCAATAAAAAGTTGTATAAATAATTTCAAAACCAAATTTATTTATTAAATAAAAGAATACAAATTTACATTTTGTTTTAATTTTATCACATATAGGTGAATTCTTATATATTAAACATACACGGTTAGCAATCGAGAAACATAAGCAACATAAGCCATGAAATTTTTGCAGAAAAACATGTTTGTCCCTTTCTTTCAGCTGCCTCCGACAGCCCTTAGTGCCTAGTAGACCGATATATATTTGATAATACCAAATCACAAATATTGCTGTGATCAAACTAAATGTTTGACATACATACATGCACATATATTTTAAGCTTAAAAGTTGCATTCTAGCAATTGAAATGTAGCTGACGTATTGTGCTTACGCTCCACACTGTTCTTGTGTTTTTTTTTTTTTTTAATTTATCGGCATAAAATTTATAAATTTTTAACAAAAGTAAAATTGAAATACCAGGCCAGCAGCAATCATCAGTAGGGTGAAAACTTTTAGATAACAGCTCAAATACAGAGTGGAACTTAAACTGCACTGTTAATTAAAAGCTCAAATAAACTGAGCTATGTTATCAAGTCATGTAGAACTTAAGTGAAACGAGTGCAGTACGCTGGGCTTTCATCGGTAGATCATGTTAATGGACAGTCTAAATGCGAAATACAAAATTGCTTAGAAGCTGTGGTGTCGCCAGCTGACCGATTTTGTTAAGAACTTTTAATATAAATACGACTGAAATACTAGGCCAACAGAAGTCATCAGTAGGGTGAATAATGTTAGTTATCGTAGTACTGTTAAATAGCAGAGTGGAACGTAAATCACACTGTTAACTAAAAGCTTTAATAAATTGAGCTATGTTATCACTCATGTAGAACTTAAGTGAAATGAGTGCAATACGCTGAGCTTTCATCAGTAGATCATGTTAGTGGACAGCCTACAAGTCGCTTCTGTAAGCCTAGTATTTCGGGAGATTCATGCTAAATTAGCTTAAATACGACATATAAAAATGTTTGGAAGCTGTGAGTGTGGCGGCTGACCGATTTTGTTAAGAACTTTTAATATAAATTCGACTGAAATACTAGGCCAACAGAAATCATCAGTAGGGTGAATAATGTTAGTTATCGTAGTACTGTTAAATAGCAGAGTGGAACGTAATTGAAACTGTAAACAAAAAGCTCAAATAAAGTGAGCAATGTTAAATAGCCACTCATGTAAAGCTAATATTAAATCAGTGATGTTAAGTCGTTTGATTGTGAGTAATTCATGTACATTGAGTTCTGTTAAGTTGAGTTTCTTTGGGCAGAACATGTATATGGTGTAATGTAAGTTCGACTGTAACAAAAGCTGTTTCTAAAGAGGGGCTGAAAGAAAATGCATACATACATTTACATCATTCCATTGCAAAAGGGCAACGAAATATAACTATAGGTTCACCAGGACAATGTTAATGGCATAGCTTTTCCAAGAACATATATAGTCTACTGGGTACCATTCAAGGATGAGGGAAACAAATGCATACATAATGATCGATTATCGACCAATTTAAGCAATGCCAAATCTAAGATTAGCAGCAAGAGTCTTAAGCTCCCGAGTTTAGTTCCGTGATATTATTCCTGTCAAGCAATTGGTTAACCGGGAAAGAGAAGAAAAGTAAGTAATTGAAAGTATAGGCAAGTGTATCCTTACTCACAAGTTCAGGGCCTCAAAAGCAGTCGTTCAGTCCAAAGAGACGCGAAGCGACATATGTATGCACATACATAGCTCATCAAAGAACATCTAATAGGACAATGCCAACCAGCTGTGTAAGAAACAAATAAATGTATGTATAAATGTATGTGTAATTCCACTCATGTTAAAGTTCTAAGAAACTCTCCCAGCAAAACGAGTGCGCGAGTGGCTGAGCATACATTTGTCTGTGTGAGCAAGTGGAACCCAAATGTCATGTGACTAAACATATTTTTGTATGTGTTAGCATGTGGAACTTAAACTTCATGAGGAATTGCCGACTTCCATTACGCGCTCAGCTTTTGTGTCCGTACGAGTCTTCTAAGCTTTCACGTCTGGAAAGTGAGAGAGAGAACTTTCTCATAATATAAATAAATAATAAAAAAATAAATTAATTATTTAATGAATAAATAAATAAATGTATAATAATTATTAAATTAATTATATGTTATTTACCACTTGATTGTTTTGTATGTATGTATGAAATTCCAAAATAAATCTTGCGCATTAGTAATGTGATTAATTCGGCTGTTCGTTAACGACTGAGCGTAGCATAAGAGAAATAGAAGTTAATAACTCAAAAAATATTCAACTCGAAATACATCCCACGCTCTTACCTTCCACTCACTGCATTTGAATTGGTGCAGCATTGCGTGTGATTCTCAGTGTGTGTGCGTGTTAGTGCTCACGTATGGACGATCAAAGGCGCTCAGTTGAGCTTTGAAGCTGTGGAACGAGTGGTGATCTATGCTTTCTGTGCGCCCATCTGTGGATGGTGAGACTCTCTCGACTACACATATTAAGCTCAAAGCAAGGAAATAGAAGCATGTGAGAGTGAGTGTTTTTTATGCTCATTCATTTTAACTCATTTCTGCATTCCACTGCACGCAACCGTATTGACATACATTCTTTTTTAGCATGCCAAGGCATATTTAACATGACATGGTTTATGTCTTTGCTTAAATGGGCATTTAATAGTACGAAAATGTAAATATTCTATTTTTTATGGCAAAAGTCGAAAAAAAACTCTTGATAATAGAGTTATTCTTATGTAGTGTTTAAAATCAACCCAACAAAATGTATTAATTTCATAGTTCCGCCCAAATTAGCCCCATAATGTGTGAAGGTGGCAAAGGTGTTTCCAGTAACAACGCAGTGCAGCCGTTAAAGGCCAACTTATAGGGGATTATTTAGTCTTAGAGAGCCCCAAAGGAATGGACGCATGAGCTTTAGGGTAGCTACTAAATGGACACAGCGCAAAGTGTTGGGTGGGGGCGGGGCAGGAGCGGCCGCCCCAACGACGCCAATGCAACATATTTTTCAAATGACGCCGGGTTTTACAAGTATAAGAAATGTCGAAAGTATTTAAGATATTTGCTCTAGAAGTGCGTGACACTCACGCTTAGTGACTTCGCTACCCCCCACCCCCCACTCCCCACTCCTCCAGCTACAGCTGCTGCTGCTGCTTCTGCTGCTGTCAGAGAGCCATTAAAGTCAAGCGCGCCCTTAGTTGGGCTTTACAAAAATAACATAAGGGGATTTAGCTGCCCAGTAGAAGAACAACAACAACAACAACAACAACAATGGGCAGCAAAACTGACCGCAATGCGCTTTAAGGCTTAGCGGTCAGTTTCGAAGTGTGCTTACCAGCCGAGCCATATCTTGGTCGGTTTATATTTAGGGTTAGTTGTGCCGCGCAAGTTTTTTTTTTTTGTCTTTTTTTTTTATTAAGGGCTTAGCTATCACATGCTTAGCCATAAAATGGCTGACAAAAGCAAGCGCAGAGACGCCAGCGTTGCCTACTCTTTGGCGATAACGCAATATATTAACAAAATAATTAAGGCAAGACATATACACACACACACACACAGCTGCCACGCCCACCACACAGAGCTTACAAAGCCTAACGTTGCTTTCATGGTAATTTCGGTGCTGGCAAACTTTTTGGCAGCTCAAGCAGCAGCAGCCGCCGCCATGAAAGGGCTCAAAAATTACGACAAAAAATAAATAACGTGACACAGCATGAAAATTGCTGGCAAATAGGCAGAGCTGCCAGGGCTGCTGCTTAAGCGCAACAGGAATGCCGAACAGCCAAAAGGCTAAAAAGTAAAGAAACAAGCGCAAACACACACACACACACACACACACACTCCCTCACACACACACGCACATTCAGCATGACTTTCAGTTGCTTTGTGTGCCCGCAGCTTTACGCTGTCTAAAAGAGTAAGGCGGGTGGGGGGCGTGGCAGCCCAGGGCTTGTTAACACGGCATATGTGTTAGCTTGTAGGCGGCTTAAAGCCAAATAGACACCTTAATAGTCAGTTTTACACACACACACACTCACACACACACACAGGTAACTTCCTATCAATAAATCACACAATTTATGGAAGACAGTAAAATTTTATTGTTTAGAATATGACGCCATAATTACAGATCTCTGCTTGTCTGTTGTAAGTTGCATCTGCAAATAGATTTAAGAGAAAAATACAAACATTAATGATTAATAATGCTGCCGCTGCTGCTCCTCCCTCTCCTGCTCCAGCTGGTTGCATATTTTTATAGCATACTTTTGCGCGCGCGCTGCACAGCGCATAAAGCAAAGCTCAAACGCTGGCGCTGCGGGCGGTCGGGCGGTCGGGCGGCAGTTTGGCTCGAAATCCACGTCAAATAAACAATGAACACAAAGCACGAGCAATTTCGTAATAAAAAATTACACACATGCCACGCCTACACGGCAGAGACGATACGTTTGCTAGCGCAAACGGCTTTTGCTATTGCACCTACTACTCCCCTCCTCCGCCCCAACTCTCCCTCTATCACACTCATGGCACGGCTTTGTCCCAAAGCAGAGCAAGGAATTCAAATTACGAGTTTTGTTTACAATCGAGCGTCAGCCTCACCATCGCCCACCTCCTCGTCGCCTTCGTCGTCGTCGTCGTCGTCAATTCTTTGCACACGAGTTATTGAATTGCGCGCGCCCACCTGCCGAGACACAATAACCCCAACCGTCCCCCCCCTCACTCTCCCACTGCCTTTATCACCTGCGACAGTAAAGTTTTTATTGGCAACGCGCGGTGCTTTGTTTCGGCTGTCAAGCAATTTTCAATTTGCCTAGGCACTCGCGCGCGCCCCTCTCTGACCGCACACACCTGCCCCACCCCCCGCCACCAGCAACACCTGAGCTGATGCCCGAGCAGCTGAGCTTACCTCGATGGTTGACGGTTGCTGTGCTGCATATAGATAGACAACCAAGCACAACCTGTTATCCAAGACACGACACAGGCTAGAATTCCGCTGTAAGGGGTTCCGAAGGTGTCGGGCATGGCGAGTGCTCCTGAATTTCTTTCTAAAGCCTAGCACGTATATAATCCAAAGGGCCAACAGGCCGGACCGGAGGGACCACAGCCTCGCGGCCCGCAGCCACATGGTCCACCGCCACATGGCGCACAGCTGCCCCAGGGACCGCACGGCCCGCAAGCACCACCACACGGACCACAGGCAGCCCAGGGGCCCCAGCCGTAGCTGCATCCGCCGCATCCTCCGCCACACATCTTGAGGTAGTGTTGTTTTTTTAGTGCTGCGATCGACGATCAAAATCGAAATAAAAAAAAAAGAATTAGAAATCAATTTTTGGAATTTCTATTTTTCTTTTATTTATTTATTTTTTTTTTTCTCACCTTTGCTTCACAGAAAAAGGAACTAGAAAAAAATTGAATTTTTATTTTTTGCCCAAAAATATAGATGGAATTAATTTTGTGTTTTTATTGGGTTTTATTATAGTACTTTCAGTCCGTTGTGGGCAAGACGAAAGTTCTATAAATAATGAGGTCTAAGGCTTTCACATTTACCTCCTAGCAATACGAAACGAGCTGTGCGTGTCAAGGCCTGCTTGGACAAATAAAACAGGCATTGAATATATAATTTATATGAATTTCCTATTTATATACACATAAATTATTATATTAGATATTATCATTTATTAAATATATATATTTATTATTATTATTATTATTATATATTTATTATTATTAAATATATATATTTTTATTAATATATGCAATGATTTCTATGTCCTTTGACTGATAGTGATAAGGCATAAAAAGCCCATAGAGAATAAGAGAATATTTCTTCGATTTTCTACTCTCAGTATTTAGTGATAATGCAGAAATATAGGAATAAATAAAAGATCATATTCTACTTAATGTAAAGAATACATAAGTTTTGCATTAAGTTCTTATCAATTTATATTATTCTTTGTTATAATAAATATATACATATAATAAATATATATAATATATTATATGTATATATAATAAACGTTTTTTATATTATATTATTATTTTTATAATATTTTATAATTATACTATTCTTTTATTATTATTATTACATCTTATCTTATGTTATTATAATTAATTATGTTAATTTGTCACTTTATTTACACAATTTGTATTCTTAATATTATAATTTAACTATTTTCATATTATTGTTCCCATATTATCTTATTTTATTATATATATTATATTTTATAATTGATCTATTCTTATATTAAATTATATTATTATGATTATTATAATTTAGGATCAATCTATAAAATAAGTGGAATTTTATAAAAATATATTTCAATAGAAGTATAGAGTAAATTATTTGTACTCGCATCTGATGCATTATCTTGCTTCTGCATTATTATCCTGCTTCTCTCTCTGTCTCTCTCTCTCTTTGTCTCTCATCCGCTATCTCTCTATATAAATATAAAGTTGCCTTTGTGCCCTGCTTCAATAAGTCATATTACAGCAGAGCCATGCTTAAGCAATCCAATTGCAAAGTAAAAGAAGCTGCGCTTGTAATTATTATACCTGGGAGTTCGTTGGGGCTGCCAGAAGCTAACGGTGTCAGTTCTGGCAACAGCAGCAACAGCTGCTGCAGCAATTTTTACGACGTCATTAACCCAACAAGTAGCTTCCGTTGCTGCCACAAGCCAACGAGCCAACGAGCCACGAGCCACGAGCCAAACGAGGTGGCATCAGAGCCTGGGTAAACGGGTTAGCCAGACACACTGAGTTGCACATTCCGGCAGTAGTTGCACTCGCAGCAGAGGCAGCAGCAGTGGCAGAGGCAGAGGCAGAGGCAGAGGCAGCAGCAGAGGCAGCAGCAGAGGCAGCGTCTGCTGTGCGCCTGCAAATATGCAATGCAAAATAGCTGCTGGCAAATTGTTTTGGGGCCAGAGAGACATTTTGCCCAGCTCGTAATGCACTAGCAATGCTAGCCAGGGCGAGGGGGAAGGGCAGCTGAGCACCTGAGCACAGCTATGGTCAGACTCTGACAAATTTAACAAAGTTTAAAGCAAACGCATTTCGAGCTCCAACAGTTGTTGACCTTGAGCGCGAAATTGTGGTAATTAAATTCCCATCGATGCGCATACTTTAGCGAAATTCGAGAGAATGCGTAGGCTTTTTTATGGCCCAGTTAGTAGGAAAATCATCTTTGCTTGTTTATAGGCAAAAACTTTTACAACATTGCGAACATAAAACTTGGCTAATGAGCCGCTAAGCAGCAGCAGCAGCAGCAGGAGCAGCAGCAGGAGCAGGCGCAGCAGCAGCCGCCTGGCAAATAATACTCTAAAGGGTTAACACTAACTACAGCAACAACAACAACAACAGCAGCAACAGTTGCTGTGCCATAACAATTATAAAATGAAAATGCCGCAGAGCCATGAAAATCAACGACTTAGTCGCACTTGGCTGCCAGGCAAAAAGGCTGTTAAATTTAATAACACAATCGCAAATTGGCTGAGAGGGGTCTGAAATTTATGAAATTTAAATTGAACCGAGCCAGAGGAAAAGCTCAAATCAAAGAAACCACCCGCCGCGTCTGGCTAACGCTGGGGCAAGCGTCGAGCGGGACGGGGTGGCAGACAGCAGCTGTGCAAGCGCTTTTCCCTCACTCCCCCTGCTCCCCGCTCAGCCACCAATCTCTGGGGATAAATTAGTGGTTTAGCTCTCGCCTAATATAGTCTTTGGCAAATGCTTTGGCGTCGTCTTGCGACATTTGTCACCCTCAGCCTCAGCCTCACTGATTTAATATTTATTTTATTAATAGAAAATTAACATAAAAAAATTGCCGAAATATTTTGACACTTGGCACTTGGCTCGATTGTGCGGGTCCGCCCCCCCGTTCTCCCGTTTGCCCGTTCGCCAAGGGGTGGCTTCTTATTATTTTGACACTTGCCAAACAATTGGCATGCGAAGTGAAAGCCCAGCTGCCTTAAAGCTGCTGCTGCAACAACAACAACAACAACGGCAACAACAACAGCAATGGCAACAATGACAGAAGGTGCCAAGGCAAGCAAAATTTTATTATGGAATTTCGTAAATTAAATATTTACTCGACAGCTGTGCGAAGATCTTGCGAATGCCTTGATTCAATATTGAGCCTCGAAAATAATTGAATTTAATAGCTCGCTGGGTCAAGGCTTTAAACTCATTCTGCTGCTCCAGCCACTCCTGCTGCTGCTCCTGCTGCTGCTCCTGCCGGCGCGTATTCCCTTGACTGAACTACGGAAATTGGCTTTAAAGCATAATGAGCCAAGGATTGATAACTCAATAAGCATAAATATTCTGGGTTAATGCTGAGAGCATGATACTTCCTTATATATAAACGAAGCTGAAAGATATTTGCTGAGAACATATTACAAATTTACTCCTTTCTCCTAGACGACGAGCTCAGCTGAGTTGGCCGTCTATCCGTCTTTCCTTATCTCAGTTGATACAATAGCTAAACATCATTTTGAATTGTGTACTTCATAGGCAGAATGAGTCTAATATATTTTCGATAACTCATCAAATTTCTTTTTATCGATTATAATCGATAAATTGCTTTCAGTTTGTAAGCGCATATTGAAAACTATTAGATCTAGTGCCTGCAGATTTACTGTGTGAATGCATTTGGCGAATCGAAAGATTTTGGCAATATACAGATTTTCAAGTACTAGAGACAAGAGACTTTAGAGTGAGAGAGAGAATAAGAGAGAGAGAAAGAGAAAGAGAGAGAGAATAAGAGAAAGAGAAAGAGAAAGAGATACGAATTCTAGATGTTTTATCAGTTTGTAGTCATATACCTAATAGATCAAAATATAAATGTAGCTTATATTACTATATGATATATAATATGTTCGTCTTGCTCTCTCTCTGCCTATTCCACTTTCTCGACTCTTGTGCTTCTCCCAACTATATTTCTCCACAGACTTACAGGTCTTAGTCCTAGCATATAATATTCCTCTCAAACGGTTGCGAATATAATTAGCAGGCATTACAATTACGCATCTAACCAAAGTCAACAGCTTTGAGAGGGACAGCGACAAGCGCGAAGAAAATTGCTCATTTAAAAATAAAAATACTAAAAAAAAGTGAGAAAAGGAAACGAGAAGACGAAACAAGAGAAAAGTAAATAAACTAAATGAGAACGAAGCAAAGAAAGAAGTGGGAGCAGGAGCAAAGCAGGTGAGCGGAATGCGGTTGGGCCAACAAAAGGAGCAGCGAGCGAGAAAGCGAGCGATGAACGCTGTGTCACTAATTCAGGTAATTTGTCACTTTATTTACATTTGAAATTAATGTTGTTGCTGTTGCTGCTGTTGTTGTTTTTGTTGTTGTTGTTGCCTGTGAAGGACAGCAAGAAACCGAGAAAACCAATTTCCATTTTCATTTTGTGGGCAACGCAGCGCACAGAAGACAAAACAAATGAGTGAGTGACGTGCGGGACGAAAGAGTCGAGCGTGAGCAGGGGCAACCCTTTATCTTATGCCACACCACCCCCCAAGCCCCCAATGGCCCACACCCGGCGACAAACGGACAGACGGACCCAAGAAATGCGATTAACATTCGAGCGCTGGGCAAAAAGGCAGCGATGCGACGCCTTTTGTGGTGCGCCGCACGTAGGCAACTGGTTTGCCACGCCTCCTCGCTGACTCGCTGGCTCGCTGGTTGACTGGTCGTTCCACACGGCGTATGCTTAATTTGAATGAAGTGGCAACGTTGTTAATAGCCCGTGCCACGCTCGAAAAGCTCCAAACCTAAAGCAGCAGCCGACGCCACACGCCGCGGCGCTGCAGCAACCCTTTCACCTGCACAGGTGCTCAGCTCTTTTAATGATGCTGTTTACTTTGCATTTGATGTGACAGCCCTTCAATGACAGCGACACAGACTGGGCAAGGGCGAGGGACAACGAGAGAGAGAGAGAGAGAGAAAGAGAGAGAGAGAGAGAGAAAGAGAGAGAGAGGGGGGAAAAGAATTCGAATGTAGACCCGAGCAAATGTTGGCCCAGCAACAATATTTGCCAAGACGAAATTGGCTAAAAAAATGTTGCCTACATAAGTGGAAATTAAGTGGAAAGAAGAGTCGAGCAGAGTAAGTGATCGACTAGCAGATACCCTCTAAGGCTGAGTGAATGTTGGCTAGATTGGCCAAAACGAAATTGGCAGGAAACAATGTTGATTACATACGTGAAAATGAAGTGGGAAGTTCTAATATAACAAGTGCTTGACTGGCAAATACCCTGTACAAAGGAAAGAACGTTAGTTTTTTAGCTGTCTATGCTCTAAGTTGATATACAATACAAAATTCGTTAGATGAAAATATGATAAATAATAACGAAAAGAGTTGAAAGCCAATTTCAAGTATTATTTTTACCAATATTATGAAATTGTTATACTCAACATACTATATAATATTTTTACCAATATTAAGAAATTATTATACTTAATATATATAAATACTAATTTTTGTTTTTTACCAGCCTCTAGTTCTGGTAATTCTCGAGATC